TAGGTACAGAATTTTTACGTGGAATATCTGGTGGAGAAAAAAAACGTACAAATATTGGCATGGAATTAGTTCTATCACCATCTGTACTCTTTTTGGATGAACCAACAACAGGTAATTTGATTATTTAAATTTTTTCTATTCATGTTTGACAAGATAATTTTTGTTCAAAAATGTTGATAGTTGAAGAAAGATCTATGGGGGCGTTGTAAAATAATATTTGAAACTATTGTGTTTTTTCGATACGGATTTCTATCTTGTTTTGCTTGAATGGTGTTTTCAATCGGAGATAGAATTATTAGAACTAAAATCGAAAAATTTTAGTAGGTAAAACTTATGTTAGGTTTAATTTTCATTAACAAGAAATTTCCTGTTATTCCTAAATTGATTTCGATAGCTTGAATATTTGAACAATTTATTCCAAAGTAAATAATAAATTCTATCTATGAACAAGACATACATCAGTGAAAGTTGCGATCATCAAATGAATGTATGATCGAAAACGTCAATTAGCAATATATGTCTTTTCTATACTTCTTTTAAATAAACAGATTTAATTAAATTAGAACTGATAAAACCAACATAATTTAAAAGACCTGTTAGCGTATATCCTGCACGATTAGAATGTGAAACACGATGTAGCTACTATTGCTAATCCCAATGAAATTATTTTATTCTATCTCTTTCGAAACATATTTCATCATCCTTGTACTTAATCCTTCGGAAGTGCAATAAGTAAATATTCTCCACTCCCTTAACTAATTAACTTCTTAGACTTAAGCTAGTATTGATTCTGAACTTTTAAAGCCGTGAAAATATTTTCTATAATCGTCAAAATCGTTTTTATTAAAAATTAGAAAAATAAATGCGACATAATAGGAATCCGGAGTGGGTGAATTAGTTCGTATATTATAAAAAGACGTTATTTATATATCGTCTGTGATATTTCCATGGTAATGTCTATTATGATCTAGGAGGAAGTGAACCTACTACGTCTATAATTCAACACGTGTTGTTGATCTTGTATTATAAAATTTTAATTAATAACTAGGTCTTGATTCATCAACAGCTCACAGTGTTATGGAATATCTCCATCAATTATCTAGACGAGGACGTATGTAATTCGAAAGAAAATTTTTCAATAAAGATTATTTTAATGTTTATTAAGGTACAATTATTTTTTCAATTCATCAACCACGTTATTCTATTTTTAAATTATTCGATACATTATTTATAGTAGCTGCTGGTTATTGTGTTTATCATGGTCCTACAAATTCAGTACTTCCATATTTTTCTTCAATTGGTTATGTATGTGAAGAACATGATAATCCAGCTGATTTTCTTCTTGATGTAACTCAAGGTGATATTTCAAGAGAGCATATCAATCAAAATGATCCAATTACAGTTGATGAACAAAAAGGTTTTCATTTACATGAATTATATATAAAATCTGATGTATATGCATCCATGCAACAAGAATTAACAAATGCAAATAATCGAAAAATAACAACAGCAACAACGATGAACTATGAACAATTAGCTTCAAAATCACGTTTATCAGAAATTCTTTATGTTGCACAACGTACTTTACGTAATGTATATCGAAATCCAATTCTAGTTACAATGCAAACAGTTGTCACAACTCTATTTGCAATATTAGTTGGTTTAATTTATTTACAAGTTAGTAATGTTGACGATCCTGGAGTTAAAAATCGTATGGGTGCAATATTTTTTATTGTTACAAATCAAGTTATGGCAAATTTATCAGCTATTGAATTATTTATTAAAGAACGTGTTTTATTTATACATGAAAATGCAAGTGGATATTATCATGTTTCAACATATTTTATAGCTAAATTAATATGTGATTTAATACCATTACGTATAATTCCATCTATAATTTTTTCAACTATTGTTTATTTTATGATTGGTTTTCAAAAGACAGTAGAAAAATTTTTTATTTTTTATTTTGCTATTTTTTCAACAACAACATGTGCAGCTGCTGTTTGTTTTTTACTTTCGGCTAGTGTACAAGTATTTGGTATTGCAAATTTATTAGTTGCTATGTGTTTTGTATTAATGATGGTTTTTGGAGGATTTTTAGTTGAAGTATCATCAGTTATTAAATATTTATCATGGATTAAATGGGTTAGTTTATTTCGATATTCAATGAATATAATTAATATAAATGAATTTAGTGGTTTACAACTTTGTTTAAAAAATAATACTCATATTTGTACAATTAATGGTACAGATATTATACATAATGTTGCACACATTGAATATGAAAATCAATGGGATTTATGGAAAAATTTTGTTGCATTAGGTTCTATGACAATGATATTTTTTATTTTGACATATATACAATTAGTTCGTATGAAGAAAACAAAATAATGTGATTTAATAATGGTCTGATAATGTATTTAAGACATGTTTCAGAGAAAAGAATGAACTATTATTTACTATTTTTTCTTTTTTTTTCAATTATAATTTCATATTAGGGATGTATTTGATGTGATTAAAAAAAGATTTTATTTTTAATTTGGTTTTTTTGTTTCATAAAGAAATATTATGCAATATAGAAAGTGTTTATTCTTACAATAAAAAACAACATTTCATTTAACAAATGATAATAATAAATTAGTGAATCTATTGTAAAAGATAATAAGTCTCTCTCAGATATAGTAAAATAAGTGCCTCAAATTTATGTTTTATTGATATTGATATTGATTCATATATTTTTGTTTATGGTTTAAATTGAGAAGACAAATAAAAAAACAAGAAGTTAGGATTTCAACAGTAGGAGAGAGAGACTTCGATCAGTGGAAAGAATCAATTTACCTACGTAAAGATTAAATAAAAAGTAATAGAACAATATCGAGCGGGAAATAAATAGCATTTGAATATGTACGAATAGCGCTTGAAAAACAGATATACCTGTCTACTTTTTAAATAAATAGGAATTTTTTCTTTGATAGTTCAATTTTGAACAACATTCTGAAAAGTCTGAGATAAAATGTCAATTGATTTGTGAAGTTGTTTGTATTAGATCACTTTATGAATGATATTTTTAAACGATATAATCAAGTATAATTTTCTATCATAATAAAAACCAACTATGTCAAGTAACCACAGTGCACCTCAATTGATATTCCCCATTATGTATTTCTTACTTTAGACTATTATAGTCTACTTTCTTTTCCACAAGGAGTATAAAGCGACAAAGTACACACTAAACTGCATCGCATCATGTATGATTCATGTGATACATACAAATCAAACAACAAAAACTACATCAGAATAAAAGATGGTATTTCCTTTCACTACAATACATACCCTTAGAGACAAATAGTTATAGTCCATTTGTTAAATATATTGTCACTATAAAAATACACTTTAAAAAATAATTATATATATTTTTATAGAACTTGAAATTCTCTATCATGTAATATATTCTTTTCTAACCTTGCGTTCATTTGCTGCAACAAAAAATTTCACGGCTAGACAACCATATGTTGAATGAGAGAGAATTTCAAGCGCCACCAGAACGTATAATGTCTTTTGTTAAATCATGTTCCAAAAGGAATAATAATTTGACAAACAACTATAAAATTGGCGAAAAAACGTAACTTCATAAATTGCTTTCAGATGAGGGTACATTCGATGTATCCAAATTTCTTTTTACAATAAATAAAGATAAGATAGAAGATTTATATAGAGGATGATAGAGAATTTCAATCTCTATCAGAATATATATAGTTATTTTTTAAAGTATATTTTTCTAGTGACAATATATTTAATACATGGACTATAGCTATTTTTATCTCGGAGGTATATATTGTGGTGAGAGAAAATACCATCATTTATTTTGATGTATTTGTCTTGTTTATTTCTATGTATCGTATATGATCAATATTTGATGTAATGCAGTTTACTCTGTACTTCCTCTCAATATAATGAGTGTTGAAAAGAAAGTAGACTATACTAGTCTAAAGTAAGAAATAAATGGGGAGAAATATCAATTGCTAGGTTCAGTAGTTAAATTGTAGAACAAAGGACAAATCTGTTAATGAGAGGACATGGTCGAATATTCAAGTAGATGGCACACAAGCTAAGCACGTTGTACAAAACGCATCCTCAAACTAGACTTATCGGTTATGGAACATAAAGCTTTCGAATTATTTGAACTGTCCAATGTAACGACGAAAGTGTTCTAGTGCACAAGAAGTCTCGACTTGGTTTTCACTCATTTTCATTGATTTTTTAAATTTCCAATACATTCTAATTTTCTATCAAGGACAGAAATAGAAGTGCAGATGTCAAGAAGACCTTCGATATGATGAAAATTTTTGAAAGATGCTAGCAACATTTTTTCTAATGCATATTCAATGTTGTTGCTGAAACTTGTTTTTAACATATTGTGACCACTAGCAGAGTGCAAATTTTGAGGAAATGTTGAACGCATTTTCGAAAATTTATGAGCAAACCAACAATAAAATGCTGAAGAAAAATAAAACTTTTGCAAGATAGAGGTTAATTCTCTTGATCATCTTTGCTCAGAACACTCCTGATTGCTAAAGCTCGTCTCACCCAAAAGGCTCTACTGATCAGAAGTCTTGTATTTTTTTCATTATCTCGAAAAAGAAAACCGAATTCTTCCTTTGAAATTGTTATTTTGGGGAGCGAATTGAGAAAGAGCAGTACTTCATATTGAAGTTTTGAAAAACGAAATTGATCATTTAATAAACATGGGACTTTGTAATAGGGTTTAAACGAAAATCGTTTGACTCGACAATCATTAGATCATCGGAACACAAAATAGCGACTTCGAGTTATATGTTGAGAAAGAAATTTACTGAATCTATTAGTAATAAATATTTCATAGAATGTCATTCTTTATATTCAAGTAACATAAATAAATTACTCCTGATTGGATTGATCGTAGGCGCCATTGATAATTCTAAAAGTTGCACAATGATCTCATTTACTTTTTAAGATTGAATATGAATTATAGTATGAATGATGTCACGATTCCTAATGGTCTACGTGAAATGCTTGAAGGTTTTGTTCGATCTGTTATTTTATCAAAAATAAAATCTCGTGATTTATATAAATATGCTTATCAATATTTTCGTGAATATTATTTATCAAATAAAACTTCAACTAAGATTATGATTAGTGATGATATAATGGATGATCAAACTGAAGAATCTATACGTGCAACATATGAAAATCTAGATGAATATGAAAATCGTTATATAACACGAGCAGTTTTATTTGGTGATACATTTAATCCTGAAATTGACAAACTTAATTTACCAAAAATAAAAAATGAAAAAAGTTTTGAAGAATATGATTTTCTTCAACAATCAATTCCAAAAACATTACCATTTCGTGCACTTGATTATGAACAAATAGAACAAGTTGTTCAACATTTTGAATTATATCATGTTAAATCGGAACAAATATTAATGAGAGAAAAAGAACAAGGAGATTATTTTTATCTTGTTCAAACAGGCATTTATGAAGCATTAATTAATGATAAACAAGTAAAAATTTGTAAGACTTTCTTTTTCTTTTTTTTTTTTTTATGAAACGTACTTTTTTTAATATTTAGATAATAATGAAGGTTCATTTGGTGAATTAGCTTTACTTTATAATCAAACACGTTTAGCAACAATTCGAGCATTAACCGATGGAAAATTATGGCGTTTGAATCGTGAAATATTTTCTCAAGTAACTCGATTTGTAGCATTTAAGAAACGTCAACGTCATTTAGAATTTATAAAAAAATGTCAAATTTTACAAAATATGAATGAAAAAGAAATGTTAGATGTGGCTGATGCACTCAAATGTGAAGAATATAAACGTGGTGATACCATAATTTACGAAGGAGATCTTGCTGATGCAAGTAAATAAAAATACGAAAAAATAGCTGAAAGTTTCCTGTCAGATAAGATAATCACTCTTCATTTGAAAAAGTCAAATATATCATTTTGTAGAGCAATTCTGCATATTGCAGCAAGTGTCGATGATATGATCAAATATTCAGATTTAGTAGATCACTCTAAACTAACGTATCTTCAACTTTGTTTAAAGTTACTTCAATAAAGTTTTGTCTGGTCTTCAGTTGTGTATATCTAATAATATTCACAATTGATTTCTTCGTATCCAAAACTAGTATTTTTACTAATCAGTTTCTGTGATTTTTAGCTTTTAGATGTTTTGAATTTTTCGATACTATTCCTAAGAGCAAAGGTGATTAACCATGCAACTTTCCTAGAAATTGTATGCCACTAAGCTCTGTAAGTATATCAATTGATTATCTTCTAAATTCATGTGCTTGGTAGTAAAATCGTCCATCCAATGCCCAAAAAAAAAGTCCAAATTCTCGATTTCAAAGCACAGAAAACTATCAGTTTTGAAATAAATACTTTTTAAGTAAAAAAAAAACGTTTTCACACAACTGAAGACCAGACAAAACTCTATTGAAACAACTTTAAACAAAATTTGATATAACTAAGTTCGAAGAGACATACTAAGCCAGAAGATTTGATCATATCATCTACAATTGCTATAATATCTCTTAAGTGGTATATGACTGCTCCAAATATCAAAAGTTGATGAAAACCCAATATCCTATAAACCATTTAGTGCTTCACAAATTGCTCTACAAAACAGTGCAATCGGTATTTTCAATGAAGAGTAGTCACTCTATCCAACAATATCGCTTAATCGCTTCTTCTCATTATAAACTATTTTGATAATATTCTTTGTAGTGTATTTTGTGAAATCTGGTAGTGTAGAAATTCGTATACGTGAATCGTCAAATAAATCTGATTTTATTGTTGTTAAAATATGTCAATCGGGTGATTATTTCGGTGAACGAGCTTTATTATATAATGAACGTCGTGCTGCAACAGCTGTTGCAATAACCTATTGTCAATTATTAGTACTTGATCGAGCTGATTTTAATCGTTTATTAGGTAGTGCGAAAGATGTATTAAAACGTAAAGCAAAAGATTACAAAACTATCGTTAAAGATATACAAAATAAACATATGTAGTTATATTCATTTTCTTGTCTTTTTGTTGATTTAATATAGAAGAAAAAGAATAAAAATAAGACGAATCAAGCTGATGCCACTAATTGTAGTTACTCCAATCGAAAGATGAATGAAACATCGATTATAAGCGAACAGTGGCTTAATGAAATTCAATTTGGTAATGTAGGTGCAGCTTTATTTATTATAGCTTATATTGGTTTTTATGGATTTGGAATCATGTCTTTTTTTATTCAACAATTAAAAGAAACTCAACGACAACGTTCTGATATGCCATCATATTTTTTAAAAACACTTTGGGATGTACCAAATAAAAATAAACTTTATGGTTTGTAATTAATAAAAGATGATTTTAGTTTTTATTGAGTTCTTTATTCTTTTTTTTTTTTTTTAGAAGAATTAGCTGATGTTGAACGTTTAAAACGAATATTTCGTTGTTATTTTGTTGATCATGAATCATATGCGACAATAACAAATGATGAACTTCAAGCTATTATTGACGAACGTGCCAGTGCATGTGCTTTAAAATATCGAGAAAAATTACGACGTCTTCATTTATCACATACAGATTATTATATAGATACAATTCACCGTTTATCTCAAATTGGTACTGATGTTCAAGAACAAGTTTCAAAATCAAAATCAATAACATTAACACGTACAACTAATATGAAAACAAGTATTGAATATTTAAAAGAAGAAGATTCTGATGATCATTTATTGTCTATATCTGTTGTTTGAGAGAAGTTTTTTGTTTCTTTTTTTTTTGTCTTTTGAAATTTTAATTAAATATTTCGATTTTGCATACGCCAATTTTCTTCCATTTTACGTTCTCGATTTCCCCATCCAAAACTGGATCCATTTGAACGTATATTTCCTGTTGAATTGACTGCTCGTGAGTTCATTATATTATTGTTTGATGTTGCGAGAGATGTCGATGTTGATTGATGTATTGGCATAGTATTCGCAGTTGATGATGGAGTTAATGCAGCCAACATAGCCGAAATCTTTTGTGAAGAGACATTCTAATAGAGAGCAAAAAAAATATTGATTCAACAATAAGAGAAATACAAACAGAAACAATTTAATATGATCTGTGCTATAAGATTTTAGATAGTTTGAAGTTGCGCGAGATACAATATTACCAAGGGAACTTTTCTTAAATGAGATACCGACGATTCAAAATTTGAGCAAAACTTTTTTTCATCATAGTTGGATAGAGCTAGTCAAGTTATCTCTAGCTGATGTGTGTTTTGATCTACTAGTTGAACGATATTTTTATAGTGAATCTTAGAAACATTAAGTTAGAAAAATCCAACAAGTCTATAAAAATTGAACTATGCCCAAAGTATCAAGTTTTGGTAGCCTCGGTATTTATGCAACTTTGTTTTTACTGGTCATATAATTTGAAAAGAAATTCGACATGCGTTTCGAAAAAAATTGTTTGATTGTTAAGAAAATAGTGTTTAGCATCAGTAGAAGAATCTGCAACGAATAGCATACTCCATACTGAAAAACAGGTTTTCATCAAATTTCGATCCTTACACTTCGTTATGGGTACTTTCGAATACTCCTACCTGTACTTCACAGAAGATCAATAATTGAGGAAAACTTACTTTAAGTATAAAGTACATTATTCGATGTAAGTTTTGAATGTAATCTTCAAATCAACAATTCATATTTCTAGGAAAGAGCAGATTTTCTCAACAATAAAAGAATATTACACAAAAACCGTGAGTCATTGTTTTCCTAACCATATAACAACTAAAATGAGAAAACCTCGGACAAATCTTAAGACTATCGCGACTTGATGCTGTGGCATATATCAATTTCTATATGATTTTCTGCAAGTGAATTTTCCTAGGATTTGCTACAAAAGCATTACTCAAATATGTTCAAAAAGAACATGGCTTATAAGTAATTCAACGATGGAAAAAATTTTTTCACACAAAGTTTCAGTTGCTGACACCTTACTTCAAAATCAGCCTATGTTATATTTCATTTCCAATTTATTTTATTCTATTAAATTCAAATCAAAATTATCCTATATTCTTTGAATGAAGATTTTTCGAGAAAAATAATTATGTGAAATACAGACAAAGAAAGATAATCACTATTTAATTATCTATTTTTGATGATTTCAGAAAAAAAAGTACTTATAAAACAAATCAAATATAACATACTAATGAAGGCATCAAAAGTGGATGAATCAATTGTTGTTGTTGTTGTTGTCCAATCATTGTCGATGTTAGATTACTTCCTTCAGCTGTCTTCTCATTAACAACATTTTGATTGTGCATCTGAACTATTCTCTTTAGTTTACTTCTATTTCTATGAATAAAATCTTACTAAATTTCGTTGTAAATTAGCCAACAATAAAACTTTAGCTGTTAATTCAGGATTGAGTGATTGAAAGCTCATAATTTTTGTTTTTTTTTTTTTTGAAAATGTATTTAATCAATCAAGTATAATTCAATATCAATAAATAAATATAATGTTTGAATATGTATATATATATATATATATTTGAACACACGATAGATTCTTCAATATGAATGTAATGTATAAACAGAATTAAAAGACACACAACAACGACAACAATAGTCAGACAGCTGTTGAAATATTTATTTTTTTAACGGAGAAATTCTATCGAAATATTTTCACCGCGCTTATTCTATTCTTTACTTAACGACAATATCTATGAAGTTTTGAATTTAAATATATATTTCAAAACAGGTTCAGATAACAATGGAGCGAGGAAGAGAAAAAAAAAACAAAACAACATGGAAGAAACGAACACGTAAAACTAACTTCACTAAAAAAAAAAGATAAACTTTCTTCTTTTTCTTTGGTAAAAATGTTTACAATTCATCTTTGTTTCCTTCATCACCAGTTGGTGGAACATCACTACCAGGTGGTGGTTGTTGTCCTTGATAAAGTTTAGTCATGATTGGTGTAACAACATCTTCAATAGATTTCTTTTGTGCTTTAAAATCATCAACATCAGCTGATGCTTGATTTTCATCAAGCCATTTTATTTTTTCTTCAATTTCTTTTTCAATTGTTGATTTATCATCAGATGATAATTTACCACCAAGTTTATCTTTATCAGCTATTTGTGTTTTTAATGAATAAACATATGATTCAAGTTCATTTTTAGCATCAACACGATCTTTAACTTTTTTATCTTCTTCAGCAAATCTTTCAGAATCTTTTATCATACGTTCAATTTCTTCTGGTGATAAACGATTTGTATTTGAATTAATAACAATATTATTTTTATTTCCTGTTCCTTTATCTTCAGCAGTAACCTATTGAATAAAAATAATAATAATAATTATTATTATTATTATCTGTTATTTTATGAAATAAATAATTAACTTACTTTAAGAATACCATTAACATCAATTTCAAAAGTAACTTCAATTTGTGGTACACCTCGTGGTGCTGGTGGAATTCCCGTAAGATCAAATTTACCAAGAAGATGATTATCTTTTGTCATTGGACGTTCACCTTCAAATACTTGAATTGTAACAACTGGTTGATTATCAGCAGCTGTTGAAAAAACTTGACTTTTCTTTGTTGGAATAACTGTATTACGTGGAATAATTTTTGTCATAACACCACCAACTGTTTCAATACCCATTGTTAATGGATTAACATCAAGTAAAACAAGATCACCAGTATTTTCTTCACCTGAAAGTACACCAGCTTGAACAGCAGCACCATAAGCTATTAAAAACAAAATACATTAACAAAAACTTAATCAACTAGAATAAATTCAATTATTTACCAACAGCTTCATCAGGATTAATACCACGTGATGGTTCTTTACCATCAAAAAATTCTTTAACTAATTGTTGAACTTTTGGTATACGTGTTGAACCACCAACAAGAACAACTTCAGCAATATCAGATTTTTTTAAATCAGCATCTTCTAATACTTTTTGTACTGGTTTCATTGTTGAACGAAATAAATCCATATTTAATTCTTCAAATTTAGCACGTGTTAATGTTTCACTAAAATCTTCATTATCAAAAAATGATTCAATTTCAATTTTAGCTTGATGTTGTGATGATAATGTACGTTTAGCTTTTTCAACTTCACGTCGTAATTTTTGTACAGCACGATTATCTTTTCGTACATCTTTACCAGTTTTCTTTTTAAATAATTTTATAAAATGTTCCATAACACGTTGATCAAAATCTTCACCACCTAAATGTGTATCACCATTAGTTGCAACAACTTCAAATACACCATTATCAATTGTTAATAATGATACATCAAATGTACCACCACCCAAATCAAAAACTAATATATTTTTTTCTCCTTCTTTCTTATCAAGACCATAAGCAATAGCAGCAGCTGTTGGTTCATTTATAATACGCATAACATTTAAACCTGAGATTGTTCCAGCATCTTTAGTTCCTTGACGTTGAGCATCATTAAAATAAGCTGGTACAGTAACAACAGCATGTGTTACTTTATGACCAAGATAAGCTTCCTATTAATAGAATCATTGATAATAATAAAAATAATATATATAGATATAACAAAAAAAATAACTTACAGCTATTTCACGCATTTTACCAAGTACCATAGCAGAAATTTCTTCTGGTTCAAAAAATTTTTGTTCCGATCCAACTTTTACAGAGATTGTTGGTTTAGATCTACGTTCAATAACAGTAAATGGAAAATGTTTTATATCGGATTGTACACTTGGATCTTTAAATTCTCGACCAATAAGACGTTTAACATCAAAAATTGTATTTTCAGGATTTGATGTTAATTGATTTTTAGCTGCATCACCAATTAAACGTTCACCTTCAGCAGTAAATGCAACATATGATGGTGTTATACGATTGCCTTGATCATTAGCAATAATTTCTACACGACCATTTTTAAATATACCAACACATGAATATGTTGTCTAAAATCGAAAACAAAAACAAATTAATTAAATGATTTCTTCTATGAAAAAAAAACAAGAATAACTTACACCAAGATCAATACCAATTACTGTACCAACATCTTCTTTTTTCTTGCTACTTGAATCTTCTTTAGCAAAAGCAATTGTCGCCAATATGACGACAAAAAATGATATGGATTTAAACATAATGGTTATTATTAACTAGAAGAGATTTAAGTTTATCTGAAATAATGTAATATATCAATAAAAAACTACTTGTTTGTCTAATTTATATACAAATGAAAAAGTATTATTCTAAATTACGTGTCAATCGATAACAATGAATATGCTTATTATTCGTTTGGACTATGTGAAGATGTGCAATAGGTATCGAATGCCACGTAAAGAAGAACGATTCGTCTATCAGTAAAGACGATATTTACATCGCCCTCCATTCAATTATACAGCTGTTTAAACGAGTAATCAAATGGTTGGTAGTTGACGTAAGGCAATCAGTATATTTGAAATAGAATCGAAATGCATGAACAAATAATTATATTCATCTAAACATAGAATTTTACTATTTTACTAAAAAACATAATAAACATTCTGTATAAATTATTGTTTTATAGATGGTGCTAATATCTATTCAATAAATAAGAAAAAACTATATATTCTACGTCTAAAGAGTTTATATCAAAGGTCCAAACAGGCCACGATGCCTGCCGACCTGTCTGGGCCTGTCTGTCACAGGCAGACCGCCTGGTCTGTCTACTTTTTCTTCGAAATCGAAGTTTCATCTGCAAGTTTCATGATTTTATTAGCAAATAGATACAACCTTCATTAGTTTTCAAAAAATCACATTTAAGCGCAATGAATCAGACAAATACTGCGGAATGAGTATTAAAGATACTTATAGGAAATCAATACCCCTACCATTCTGAAGAGATGAGGAGCACAAATTTTCATAGTTATCATTATCTACTTGCAATGTTTCTCAATTTAAGTTAAATTAATTGACTCTCAATCATTTTTTCTGTTGCAGATTTACCACTGATTGAATTCTGTTTCTTTCTTGATCCCGATACTTTCAGTGATAATGTGATCTGGCATGAGAAGTTCACTGAAAATATTTTTGAACAAAAACCAGATATCTTCCACAACTTGACTATCTTAGCATTGTTTTTATTTTGTCTACGTATCACCAATGTTCAGTTCGTAAACTCTTAATCAGTAATGAAACTTTTCAACATATGCGGGCACCTGTGAAATTGTCAGTAACCATAGACACCACCAACTTTGTTAAAAGGATAGAGTTCGAAATTGATATTATTTACACATCCCTACTGCGTCGCGCGTTTTTTTGATTGATATGAAGTTTGCGACAAGAAAAACGATACATTCGTTTAACTTTAGTTAATTTTTTCCAATAATCCGAGTTGCAGTTTGAACAAAGATATATTCATTATAACTTCATGAATATTCGATTAGTGATCATTCACACTGTAGGTACTGTGTTTGGTTTTCTGACAGAAAAATATTTCTTATTGAGTTCACGATTGAATTCGACCAAGTTCAATGTCAATCATAAAATAAAACTTAGATTGTACACACCTGGTAAGTCATTAAATTATAAAAGAAATTATATTATTCTGTTTCTTTATGGTAATTGATGTATGAAATACATATGTTTGTTTGAAAATTGACTACCTAGCGAAAAATGTATTAGGCTCAGAAATTAACGTTTGAAATATGTACTGTGTTGTTACGAAACAAGCTCGGACTTGATTTTCCTTTGAAAAATTTATTTTGAACAAGGATAGTATTTTCTCACAGATTCAAACGTGTTGGATGAATGGAAATATTATATAATACACAATTGATAGATAAATGTAATGTTAAAAAGTAAAAGTATAATTTAATTTATATTTTACTAACTTACAAGGTGCGAATAATTTTATATATACACAAATTAAATTAATAATAGACATAAATTGACATAGCTGTGCATTAGCATGATGATTTATACATGCTTTATGTTTCACAGTATTTTAGTTCTATTGTGCATTCACATAAGCGACATGATGCGAATTCATTTTGTTAGACGTTACATCGTATAAATTAGTTTTAACAAATACACGTTGTTTCTCTATTCAATGAAAGAAAGTATGAAAATTAGAATTGATCAGAATCAAGCATGTTTCCATTACTAAAAATGCTTTTGTATGTTAGATAATACGCAGAACAGCTAATGAAAATGAAACTTCTTGATATGCTTTTGACACTGATGACAATATAATTATTACAAATTTGTTGTCCAGCTGAGAATAATTTCTTCTTACCCATCGATAAGAAAAAAAAAAAGAAACAATAATGTATAGTCGTTATCA